CACCAGTAAAGCTGCTGCTCCCCAGCAGTGACCAGCAACAGTCTGTGGGCCTCTCTCACCCCACAGAGACACCAGTAATCTGCTGCTCCCCAGCAGTGATCAGCAACGGTCTGTGGGCCTCTCTCATCCAGCCCCCCACCCCAAACACGAGGGGATAGTGGAAAAGCTTCAGCCAGCAGTCTGCTACTGAGCCCAGTGAGATCATCCCAGCTCCACTGTGCAGATTGGACCCAGTGCTCGCTGGATTCTAAATACGGTAAATAATTCAGCCCTTACACATCAGCTTTCCTGGCCTATCTCTGCTTTTCCTGAGCATCTGTATCCCAGAAAGATGAGTGCAAAAAGAAAGAGCTGTTCTGTTGAGTACAAGGGAGGAATTGTTGAGGACTCCCAAGGCAAGAATCTTACAGCTTTCAGCAAAGAGAAGATGTTGGACATCCAAATGGTCCGAAAATGGCAGGCAGAATACAATAACCTGAGTCTACATTTGGACAGAGGAAATGCTAAGAAGCCAAGTGTGGTTCAGTTCGGTGACCTTTATTTCCTGAGCTGGAAAACATAATCTGTGAATGGATCGCTGACAGGAGAGCAAAGGTTTCGGTTGTGCGCAGGGCTGACATTCAAGCATTTGCCCTTGCAATGGCAGCACAGTTTGAAATATCCCCAGAATTCAAAGCATCACAACACTGGCTGGATGGCTTCCTTCAGTGATATGAACTGTCTCTCTCTTTTTTTTTCCTCAGAAAATCAACAACACTGTCTAAGTTGGAAGATGCAGAAGTTATTAAGCGAGCACTTGCATTCAAGTCCTTTGTTGATGGCATCGACTTTTCTAGATACCAACCTTGGAACATGATTGCTATGGATGAAGCTGCAGTGTTTATGGGTCAAGGAGTCCAAACAATTGAGCAGAGGGGGGCCTCCTCAATCTACATTCCCTCCACTGGTCATGAAGGTTCATGTGTTACCTGTATTTTGGCCATTCATCTGGATGGAAAGAAAGCTACACCTCTTATCATCACTAAGGGCAAGAAAGATAAGATTGAATGTGTTTCTGGCATTTATGTTCTTAAAACAGAAAAAGCCTGATGCACACAAGCAGTTATTAGGAAGTAACTTGATTTAATGCTGCCACTTGTTTTGTGAGGTGGCCAAAGAGGTCTGCTAGTCTTGGATTCAGTCACCACTCACCGTGCTAAAGACATTAAGAACTTCCTTGCAGAGAGAAAAATAGATCAAATAATGATTCCCGCAGGAATGACTGCCTATCTGCAGGCTCTTGATACTACAATAAACAAGCCATTCAAAGACCATTTGTGTATGGAAATTAATGACTACACTGAAAATAGAATGACAAGAAATCAGCGTGGAAACTTTGTGAAGCCTAGCCTGCAAGAGGTCGTGATTTGGGTGAAGAATTCATGGAAAAAAAATCACTGACAGTGTTGTTGCCAATGCACTCTGAGCAGGTTACATGGATAAGAGCTGCTCATTTAATGAGAGCTCTATTGCTCGACATGAAGATTGCTCGAAATGGAGTCACAAGAAATTCAGGATGAAATTCTGGGTCTGAAGGGTTATGATGATGTTTCAGAAGATGACTTAACTGTATTTGAATAAATGTAGATTGTTGTATTATACTGAAAATAAGACATCCCCTGAAAATAAGCCCTAGTGTGTCATCTTGAGAAAAAATAAATATAAGATGGTGTCTTATTTTGGGGGAAACATGGTATGAACAGTGCTTCACTGAATGGTCTGCCTGTCTCTATGTGTGTGTATTTGGATTTTTCTGGATCTCTCCAACTTGGTTGTGAAGTACGGGCACCTTCATATAGAACACTGGAAGCAGCTCTCCAGAGCACTTGCACCAATCACAGCTCTGCTGGAGGAGTAGGTTGTGCCCCTCTTCCTGATTCTGCCTGTCACATGGGGCTCACTGGCCCCGCAGTTCTCCCCTGTGAACTACCAGGTGGCTGCCCTTGCTCATCTCTCCTGTTGGGTCATCTTTTTTGAAGTGGTTTGTCAAAATGTGACACATATTCTGGATAATAATCTGCTCCTTACATTCCTGCATGTGTCTTCCCCTGATTTAACTTGCCTTTTCATTTTTAATGGTTTCTGAACTCATAAAGATTTTCTTCTAAAGGTTGAAAATAAATGCTTCTCACTTTCATGTGTTCAACCTCACACTGACTGCCATATGTGGTTGTGAGTGGAGGAAGATATGGGCTTTATGGGTCCTGAAGCTTATGAAATACAAAATGCTCCAAAATCTAATACTTTAAACGCTGACTTAATGCTCAGAGGAAATGCGCATTGGGATATTTCAGACTTCGTTGGATTTTTGGATTAGGGATGCTCAACCAGTAAGTACAATGCAAATAATCCAAAATTTGAACTCTGAAATACTTTTGTTCCAACTCTTGGGCTCAAGCCATCCTCTTGCCTCAGTTTTTCTATTTTTAGTAGAGACAGGGTCTTGCTTTTGCTCAGGCTGGTCTCAAACTCGTGAGCTCAAGCAACCCACCCGCCTTGGCTTCCCAGAGCGCTAGGATTATAGGCGTTAGCCATGGCTCCTGGCCTCCCAAGCATTTTGAATAAAGATATCCAATCTGTATAAATTCAGTAACCCTCTTTAAGTCAGAATTATGACTTAATAATTTTCCCATGCAGATAACCAATTCTCTCAGCATCATTCACTGAATAATTCATTTTTAATGTTGCCTCAAGTATCTGTCACATTCCCTGTGTGAGAGTCTGGTCTGCGGCTATTTGTCTGTCCTGCCTCAAATCTACGCTGTCAC